CTAATGACGCTACCAATTGTACCCTACCTAATATGTTTCACTGATTTGATTAGATGAACTGGTATGCCAATTCTATCACTGAAGATGTTTCACTGATTTGATCACATAAACTTTCCTCTGACGGGTGATGGTAATTCCCAAGTCCTCATGGACCTGTTTATTGATGGTTGTTTATTAAGAATCATGATGTGATATCTGCCTTTCATTTGTTTCATGGATCTTTATTGCATCGGTTCAAGAACCTCGAAGGCGGCTACCTCTCCTTCCTCAAGATCATGGCTGCGATAGTCATCGCTACTACAAGAGGATCAAAGCTGAAGATGCATCAGCCATCCCGTCCGGCGAGGGGGCTCAAGAAGAAGTAACCAATAAAATACGATGGGGGCCCTGTCAGTGATGGACGAGATGGTCTTGATTCGGAGAAAGACAAGGACACACAACAATGCTGGGGATTAAAGAGAGTAAGAGAAAGAGGAAGGGCAGTGGGACTTGATGTTGCCGATGGTTTGCGTGCTTGCTGCAGTGTGTTTGTGCTTGGTGTCTTTGCAAAGGCACATGAATTCGTGCTGGCACATCTAAAACTCTTTTATTTGGTTAGTAAGTTGGCCACACACTCATATTTTTTTCTAACAATTCTTGACCACCTCAATATTGTTACTGATAAAATAAAAAGTATTTGCTGAAAGAAAGTTTTTTACTAATAGAAATCATTTTCTAAAACGAAAGGCTTGCTTACGTTTCACTAATAGTGGTTCACTTGCTTATAATTGTTAGACATTGGGACTGAAATATAATCCAAAAAGGTAATCAAGAGGAATGCCAGCCATGCATCAGCAAACATGTAGGGTGGGTGGGATGGGCAGGGGGAACCTAAGAATCAGTGGTGTTAATATTCGTGTGGCCACAACACTTGGAGAAGGTGGCGACACTATGGTGAGTAGAAGGTCGCTTTGCCATGGAGGCCACCCTCGACATGAAGGTGTGCACTCCATGGTACTGGGAATTATCCTGGGATGTCCTTGTTATGGAGATTGATGGCGCGACAGCGCGACTATGCTTGGCGAGGCTTGGCAGGGGTAGAAGACCGAGCCTGGCGATGGGGGCGTCGTACCACCTTCTAGCCGTGTGCCACACAGTGGTTGTCCAACCCACATACAAACAGGTCAGCTACGTGGCTCGAACTAATGGGGAGCTATGATCCCTGTTCAGATCCGGCTACCCAGGATGCCAGACTCGTGGGTGCGCTGGCTCGGTACCAAGGTGGCGACACATTGGCTCGATGTCGAGACGGCGACCCAAGAGGTTGGCGGGGAGAGAAGGAGACGGGCCACACCATGGCGGGGAGAAGAGTGGACGGGCGACGCCGTGGATGAGAGGGAAGGCAGTGGGGAGAGGAAGGGCGTGTTTCGAAATGGTGTGGAGGGGAGGTGCTGAGGAGAGATGGCGGCAGCGATACATGGTGGGGAGATGAGATGCGGCGACACCCGGTGGCCGGCTAGCTTTACACGGTGAGTAGGAGGCGGCTGCGCGGTGAGTGACTGTGAGGGGTGGCTTTTTTCCTTCAAGAAAGGGAGGAAGGAGCAGCTGCTATGCTGTGACATAATGTCACATAGCCTAACAAGTCATTTTTAGAGAAAATACCATCCATGTGATATAAAAGCAGCCACCAATTTATAGCTCATTAAAATCGGGATGCAACTCACATTGTACCATGCAATTATACCTGGCCATGGGAAAACCACCCCGGTCGGCCCGATCCGGTCAGCCCAGCCCAGTCTTGCCCACGGGTCCAGCCTGAGCCTAGGTTTTGAGCTTGAATGACACGCCGGGTCGGGTCTGGGCTTGCCATATTTGCGTTTAGGGAAGATGCCCGACCCGAGGCCCAAGGCTCGACAGGTTTTTTTCACTAACGGGTCGAATTTGGGCCTAAAATCTAGGCCCGACGGTCGGGCTGGGCCGGGCCTAGGTTTTCTGCTTCGGGCCTTGTTAGGCCCGGCCTAACGGATGGCCAGGTATACATGCAAATGAAGTTGGAAATATCTTAAACCCATCAAGTAGATCTAAGTTTGTAACAGATAATTAGTTGAATTATGGCGCTCTATGTACGCAACTTTCTATTAGATTTCTTATCAACTTACATCGTAAGTGAAGCGGATTTCAATTACTATTTGATTGTCAAGGACAATCATTTCTATAGATGCAAAATTTGACATACATTATATTTATATATGTAACCAGCAAAACATATATCCATGGCCTGTAGCAACGCACGGGCATTCTACTAGTTAATATGGTAACAAACTACTAAAATATGTTCCACCATGAAATAGTACAAGAAAGAAACAAGAACTGTTATGTGGGGCGCATATGGTGGGTGGGCTAGGGCCCTGGCTGCACCACCCTCTGATCCGGTCCTGGCCGGATCCAAAAGTGGCTAGAGTCCCTATCTTGTATCCCGAGTAATCATATTAGGTTGATTCCAGATTTGGATATTGCAGAGTCCACTTTGTACCTCCTTCGAGTTGGCTTGGCAGCTAAGTTATCCCTACTACATAAAGGGCTTCAGACTCAATCAACAACCCTATCAGAATTCCCAAGTATTACTTTCTAACAGGCCAATGGTAATTAGAGTATGTTCCAACAACATACATCAATTTACTCTTAGCAAATGTTATGCTGAAACTTCATATGCCAAATTCCAATACATTACTAAAATGTGCACTGAACAAGCTTCGTATGCCTTGAAAATGGCCAATAATCTCCTAGGCAGTACCAGTTCTAGTGTAGAAGTATGTGGCCAAACACATGAAAGAAGGAAGGTGAAATGTGCTACAAGCTAAAAATCTTCACAAGTAGCTTCAGAGGTAAGTGTACATTAACCACCCCACCCGCACCCTCACCCATGGAACTATGTCCAGAGTAAATCCCGAGTCAGCATCATCCAATGTTGAAAAGTTGAAATCCAACAAATTCCATAAAATATTAAAAAAGCAAGGGAACAATTCTGTACAAAATCAAAACATTGTGTGAAAAATAATAGGAATGAGGAACAGATAAAAAAAAGGAAAACTTCAGAAAAGGTGAGGAAATTATAATGTGGAAAATCTACAATATCACTAAAATAAATAAAAATATAGTCTTATAAGGCTAGTTACATATCTAAATAAAAAAATACTAGTTCCATTGTATAATATTCCCTTCTATATTATCAGATTTATATTTTTGGATAATTTTCCCCCTTTCTCTGAAGTTGTCGTGTTGCTTTGTTTACTGATTTGTTAAAATTCTTACTCTAATTTTGCAGATTGGCAGACAGGGTGTTCCAGGATGCGAGCAGGGCTCAGAATTGCTCGGTAATCAGCTTCAGCTGCTGAATGATGGTCGTCCGCTTGCCGTCGCCGTGTGCCGTGGCAGAGTGGTGGTCAGCTCACGGATCAATATGTTATGTGCTAGTTTTCGATGGAGTTCGTGTGGAGAGCAAAGAAGGTTGTACATCTCAGGTCTCGACCTGATGGGATAACGTGATAACTTATGCTCACCTTCGTGCGGAGAGGCAGAAGCTGAGTCTGCTTTGGGGAAGGCATTTGTACACATGGGCTGCCTCTTATATTAGGCTACAGCCGAACTAACCTAGGAAACAGTAGCTGACTAAGATAGTCTGTATTATACAGGGGTATTGCATACTTATTTTAAACTATTGTTTCCTAACCTTCAATCGGGACTCTAGACCAACTCTCACCTGAACGCTATTTACTGCCTAGGCTTCTGGTTTACTGCTGCTGCTCCTAATGCAGTACCTGCTACATCTGGAATAGAACTGCTGCTGCCATCAATTTTCTTGTGGCACCTCTGGTATGTGTGGGCCCCAAAAGGAGTCCACAACAACTTATCTCTTAGCTTTACCTCCAACACAAGTTTGCTCATGCAAGGTTGCAATTCTTGAACATGAACAACCTGCCATAGCCTTAATATAGATTTATGCCGCGGCTGGCTGGAAAGTGGAACTGAAACAACTTAAAAGTTATGCTGTGTTTCAAAATGTTCGCATTATATTTGGGGTAGGGCAGTGCTGATCATTTTTTTTCCATTTCGTTAATGTTAATCTTTCTTACTAGTTACGACAAGTACCCTAAGCTGGTTTGTTTAGCCTACACAGCTACACACTCTTAGCCCAAAGCATATACTGCCCTCCATTCACTTCTAACTATGGAAGCTTAAGGGAGCTTTTGGCACTTTTGAACAAGTGCATGCAATATATTATTGAATACTTAGATTGTCCATTTGTAAACAATCTCAAAGCCTTCTTCACAAAAATATTTAAACAATAGTGTACTTTGTGCAGATATGCTCTCAGCTAGACAGAAGAGAAGGTCCATGTCAGTTGGTCACGTACCACATTTGAGGTATGAAGTATGGACATGCTTTATTTTAGTTCATTTTCTAAATGTTCATGGGTTATATCCAAATTTTATTACATAATCCGTAATCAAACTGTCAACTTCAAAAGGAATTTTGAAATTATTTACTTAGGGCCGTTTGGAACTCCTCCAGCTCCGCTCCGTCAATTCCGTGAGCGGAGCAGAGTCGAACGCTACAGCTGCAAAAGCAGCTCCACGAAACTATGTTGGGCCGCAGTGCAAATCGGAGAAGTTGGAGAAGCTTGGAAGTTGCAGCGGGATCCTAAAAACACGGAGTCGGCCTAAATTACAACCCACTGCCACCGGTAAGTGGAAAAATGGCCTGCTCTTTAGAGTCAGGAAAATTTCGCATATCTGCCACCAAACAGGTGATGCCGGTCACCAGAGAAGCTGGCATCAATGATGCGAAGCTAGAACTGAGGATTTGACGAGGCAATGTGAGTTTTAAACAGGCAATTAATAAGCTTAGCTCTGTGCGAGAAACCATGTCAAAGATAGACTGTTGATTAGGTGATTAGGTGTTGTTGTTTGCCTGTGCACCAAGTTAAACTGACAGCGGTGCATCAGGTCGGAGAGACGAACATGCAGAAGCCTTGTTTTGGGCATGGCATTGTGGGCTGCAGCCTTTTGGTAGGGTTTGCTGTGGCTGGGCATCAAGCCGTCAACCGGGAGATGGAAGTGCAGGAGCTGGAGAGATCGAGCACGCCATCACACAAACAGGCGGCTGGTCAATGGACCATGGCGTGCGGCCGATGCTGTGCCCCTTCCTCCAGCTGCCCAGCTCAAGGTATCATATGTAGATGTCCTAAATCTCAATTCTCGGGTTATGAAGTGCAAATCGTCCTTCTAGACTGTCTCAGTTTATTTTTAATTCTCTGTATGAGGTTGTTGCGAAGCAGAGATTTCAGTTTATTAATCTATGTCAAATGTGCAGAGGCACCGGCGCATGACAGAGCCTATGCCAGCCCCACAACACAGGAGACGGCCGACACTGCGCCGGTCTATCAACACCGCGACCAAGCAGCTTTAGCGCAGTACCTTTTTTTCCTTTGTTAGTATTTGGTAATAATTGTTCATTCTCAGTTCTTGCAATTATTTGTCTGAGGTATTGCCAGTAGATTAAACCTTATTCAGATAATAGGAGTTTTGGCGAAATGTGGGGCATTGGCTATGGGTTTTACTCATAATTAGGATATTACTTCGTTCGGCTGAGTGATTTTCCAAGTACGTATTAATTTGGAAACGCATAAAAATCATTTCCAAGTAACTTAATAAAGCATTTTGATTTGTATTTGTTTTTGTATGTATACATCTTCTGCTATTATGTCAGATAATCCATGCTAGGAGTTATAAAACACATTTTATCTAGCACACTTTTGCGTAAAAAATTAAAATCATGTTAAAGCGGTGCATCAGGGTGACTTTTACAGCTCCACCCCTGACAGAAAGGACAAGCAACTGAGCAAACCGGATTAAAACACTCGCATGCTAAATAGCCTGGAATGGTCTTTCCATTCCAGGTTAACAGCGTCGTGTTGGAAGTCGGGAAAAATTGTAAATCGATTAATAAACACATAATTTTGCTACGGCCTCGCGCCTTAGTTCAATTCAGTTTTGTTTGATGCAGCGCTAGAGAGACATACCCAGTAGCTGTTGGCGTCATCCACATTGGGGAAGCTGGTGACCGATTGCTGGCCGCTACCAGATCCATACGGCACGTCGTGGGAATGCAGCCGAAACTTGGTCCTCTCATGCATCAACTTGATCACTGATCCGTAGGAAATCTAACAAGGAATTGGAGAAACAATCGCGTCACTGATCCGATCCATAGTGGTCCCAGTTCCAAACACAGAACGCTAATCAGCTTAACGCCCTAACCCGGCCATCCCAAATCGCAACCTTACAAGGAGGGAGGCGGAAATTAATTACCCACCTCCACAGTGCTGTCCGAGTCGGCGGCGTAGGACTGCGACGGCGACGCCTCGGGGAGGTCGAGGCCGAGGTAGAGCACAAGCGCGAGCGCGAACGACGCGGCGGCCATCGCGAGCAGCAGAGCCAGGAACCAGGTCCTCTGCCAGAACGGCGCGGCCTCCTGCTCCTCCTCCCGCTCACCGCGGCGCCTTATCCGCTCCCGCGCGAGGGCGCCGGCGAGGCTGGTGGTCGCTGCCTCCGACGGCTTCGCCTCGGCGGAGGCGGGCTTGCGGCGGGAGAGGACCGGCGCCTGGGGCGTGGGCGGCGCCACCGCGGCGGTGTCGACGGGGCAGAGAAGGAAGCTCTAGAAGGTTCGCTCGTACGCCACTACGCCGCGGGGAACTCAGGTCGAAGGAGCAGGCGAATTGCGCGCCGTTTGTATTTGTGACGAGTGCTTGTTTTTCGTTTACTTTTCTGTTTGAAGGACCAGAGAGGAAGCTGCGGTTTCTCGCGGCCACATCATGGCAAAGGATACTCAGCGAATGGGAGGCGTCAACGTGGCAGTTATGGTGATATGGCGAAACGCCATTGGTTCAATAATCTGCTCCTCGTGGCAACGGTTTCGTGGAGGAGGGAGGGGTTTGAGTCGACTCTGCTGGTCTGCTCTGCCGGTCAACATACGGTATGCTTTTGGAGGATCGGAGGGCTATGGTCCCGTTTGCTCTTCTTTATTCCGCTTTTTTTCCATGTTTATATTAGAGTAAACTTTTTTGAACACAGTACAGACGCAAGCAAATCATATATACACACATACAGTCTTATGCATACACTTACCCCTATAAACGCACACACGCATACCCTATCCCTATGAGCACCTCCCAGGGCTGAGCCGGCATACCATCTTGAGATTTTACAAAGTCACCGTAGTAACTCCGTAGTCAACAGGAACGTTTCCTCCCACTGAACGTGCATCCCCGGAATTCCTGAAATTAATTCAGGATAAATGCGAGTATCAAAAATCGAATTCTGATGGGCTGGGGATACCACTGTTCACATAACCATCCAACCACAGGTTGGTTCATTAAAGTAAATGTCTGAGCGTTGCAACGGGCGTTGTAACTCCCAAAACCTGATCCATGTGCTGTTACGGACCATAGTTTATAGTTAATGGTGATAAACGTACGTAATAAGATTACATAGATTATTGCTTTTTCGGATTTTGAAGTGTGAATGTTAAAAAGTCATCTTAGCATTCTCCATCTGATGGAAGAGCAGTGTTTCATGCAATAGTTTGTGAATTGTTTTTACCTTTTATGAAAATTGGAATTTTTCTGAGAAAAGTATTTGAACTTTTGTAATATTGTGAATGTTTTAAGTTTTACGAACATTTGTAAATGCATATTTTCTAATAAAATGTTTTTTTTTGAATTTTTGACTGGTTTTTAAAATGTCTTAAATGGAGTTTGTTGTTCGGTTGGGAAGAGTTAGAGCATCTAAAGTCGGACCTCTTATACCCATCTCAAATGTTGGGAGGCCGTCCGGTCACTGTCTGGTAAAAAAGCTGACTCAACCGGACCTCTCAAACCGCGGACAAACGCCCGGGCTGACCGACACCCCTCATATCCAGCCCAAATATGGGGTGGATATGGGGCGGCCCGGACGCTCCCCCTGACAGGCCCGGCCCACCATCGACCCCACACCTGGCCCATAAAAATCCCAATCCGGGCACCTCGCTCCAAACCCTAGCTTATTCTTTCTCTCTCCGTCCTTTCCTCTCCTTCGATTTCGAACCCATCCACTCTGATGTTCAACTCCGGCAGCGACTCCGGCTCCGAGCTCGACTACGAGGAGGAGATGGCCCTCCGCATAGCGTTGGAGCGGCCCAAGGTGGACACAGGCGTCATCTCTGGATCTGGAGCGTCGCCGCAGGTCCCGCGCCAACGCAGCGCGGAAGCCGGAGTTGGACCCTCCCAGCCCGCGAGCAGCGATGCCAAGACAACGCCGTCTACACTGCCCCGCGTCGTCTCCTTCCCCCACCGACCGCTCCTCCACGCGGCCAGTGGTGGGTGCTAGTGCCCGCGCCGCGAGAGGCAACGTGCACGGGAGAGGGACGCGGCGGAGCAGTTCGCGCGCCCCACCGCGGGATGCAGGCGGAGCCCGACAAGGATGTGCGGCTGCTCGCATGGGTCTACCACCGGTCCCTCACGGCGGCGGAGACGGACGCTCGCCGCCTTCGATGGAAGAACGCTAAGGCGCTCCGGCTTACTATTGAGTAGTTGGAGCGCGAGCCAAAGGAGGCAGCAACAGAGAAGGCTCAGTTCGCCAAGTTGAAGTGGGAGCAGGACAAGGCGGTCCATCAGATGAAGGGGCTCATCGTCATCTCCGACTCCGACTCCGACTGTGATGGTGGCGACGGCTGCACCTCCTCCTCGGACGACCAAGACCCTCCACCAGCCGCGGACGCCTATAGTTGCGCCGGTGATCGGAGGCAATGGCCAGGCGAGGAAGTGATGAAGTGATGCAGAGCATCCTACGGACATCACCATGTCAAGAGCCCGTTCAGCGAGTGAAATGTGCGACATCTACTTCATATACACAAAGGTGAATCATCTCCTTTACACGTGTTCACTTGACCCCTTCGAGGCTAGTATACTACTTGACAGTTCTCCCGTGTGCATGCATAGGTATTGTCGGAGCTTCACAGATGTTGAGGAGGAGTGCAAGCGCCAAGGGTCGACTACACCATCCGCGAGAGAAGCATGGAAGCGATGTCAGAAGAGGAACGGGAGAAGATTCCCAGGCCCCGGACATCCGGCCTAGTCCCAGACATCTGACCCCTGAAGACCAGAGCCACCAGTAGCAGACCAGCCGCAAGCCAGCTCGAGGCCCCGGACATCCGGCCCGACCCCCGGAAATCCGGCCTCCTTCATAGAACGCAACCCAGGCCAGCTAGGACATCCGCCCCCCTGCGCATAGTGTAAAGGGCCACCGGCCCATATATCCCTCCAACTCGCCCCAACTTGTATGAGCATTATATATAGACCCTCACCTCCTCCTAGCTAGGGATATCAAATATGATAGCTCATTTGTATGTGAGCTTTGCTCCCACCCTCTCCGAGAGAGAGAGAGAGAGAGAAAGAGAGAGAGAGGGAGAGGGAGAGAGAGAGAGAGAGAGAGACCACTCCTTTGGAGGCCAAGACCTCAATCTAGGAGAATATCCGGAGGGATTCAAGACCTCTTCACGAAGAAGATCCTTCTAGGATTCAAGCCCCCATCTCTTTTGGATTTGGGATGAAATTCACCTTGTATCTTTTCCTTTGTTGTTCATGTACCTTATGGATCTTGTGTGTTTGATTGTCCAGTGGATGTGTGATTGGACTTGTTTTTGAGTGTTCCTCTCGTGATTTCCCTCGTGTTTCCCCTCGTGTTCTTCGCGGGATCCCCTCCAAATCGTGAAAGATCGGCCCCTGGGGTTCCGCCCTACATCATTTTGGATCAGAGCCAAGCTGCTCATGATCATATTGGTATCATGGGCCACGTTGATCATGAATTTGGAGCCTGCCCATCGTTTTCTAGCCTTCTTTTGTGTGATTTTGTCCTAAATTCGAAAATCCCCACCAAAAATAGCCCCCAAATTTTTTGTAATTTGTTGGTTTGATGATGTTTTATTGATTTTGATCCATGGATTCGTTGTGTTTCGAGTAGATCTATCTTTCCCCCAAGTTTCCCCACTTTCCATCCACGAAATCTCCTCAATTTTGCCCCCCAAATCATCAATTTCCGTCCCTAAAATCGAGTTCCTCAAGTTCATCCTCGGATTTGGAGCCCGGACATCTAGCCCCTGGACATCCGGCCCATAGCCCGGACATCCGGCTCCTGGAGCTCATTTCCGCGCAAGGTTCTAGACATCACGCCCCAGATTTCCGGCCCCGACCCCGGATGTCCGGCCCCTGGCATTTCAGCCTCCTATGTTTCACCGTTTTGACCATAACTAATTCATTTGGAGTCCGATTCTGACGTTTTTAGCTCGTTTTGAAGCTATTGACATCCCCCATCCCACAAAAATACTACCATCATCATTTGACTCCATCATTTTTTGCCACTTTGGCATCTTTACCTAGGGCTTCCACCATATCATCTGCATT